TCTTCGTTCATATATGTCCGGCACGAATGTTGTGTCCAAGCATTTCTTGCATAACATCTGGAAGTACAATGCGTGCTTTCAAATGACGTCCATTGGTAGTACGTCGCCACGACCGACGTTGAAAAACAGGGTTTCATATCAACATTAAAAGTGCAGAGACAGATCTATCACAAAGCTGGATCCGTGCTTCCTTTTGGCAACAATAGCCTCAAGCTGCAGCTATACTTCGTCTGCGACGAACAGCTGCAAGCGAATCAACATTTGCAGCAATCGGTGGCACAAGGGCGGACGTCGCGTTAGAGCTGCAACGAGTGCTGCATGAGCACTACCGCCTGGTGAATGAGTTCGAGACTGCCCAACAGCAAATGCACACAGATGAGTACAAGGTCGTAATACTGCTCACAAGAGACCTGCCGGTTAGCATGAGCAACATTTTGAAGCTCCATCCGAAAGCGAAATGGCGGTGGTTTTAGTTGACGAAGGTCACGACAGGCGGGACATTATCATTCGAAAACGTTGCGAAACGTTGGAGCGCATAGCTGAAACCAGGTCGTACGATGCCATTCATGTTTGGGATGGGGACGGTCATCACCTCGAGTTGTGGCAGAGAAAACCTAGCACTGGTGCCCTCACCAATGAGAAGGTATCGGTTATGGATTTCTATGCGCATCACATGATGATAAAATCCACGTCTATCAACCACGTCGCGAGATGCCGCCAACTATTTCACCAGTTTATCGTAAACATGTACGCTAAGACTGAGAACGAATGACTCCTCTTCATTTGGCTCAATCGGCGGAAGCTGCGTGCAGACGATTACATTCAGCTGCGGCCGTGACCGAAGATGCAAATGTCACTTGCTGGAGGCGGTTGGTCATACTACATCCTCTTTTGCGGGCGACCCACCTCAAATGCACGAGTACACTCAGGACGCCATGGCCCACTTTAGAGCGTACGGTCGCGGCGCCTTAATCTGTGCTACATTTATGTCCTAATGTCCTGTGGCCGTATTCATCAACGAAACTTGAGGTTGAATTCCACCTTGAGGGCATGCCTCAGGGTAGGTTTTAACCTCAAGGTAGCTTTGC